CTATTTTCTGGTCTATGACTCCCATCTTCCCACACGACGGCTGTGTGGACTAGGGCTGATGGGAGTTATGGAGCAAAACATATGGACACCACAAGTTGCCCACCCCTGATGTACACTATCCTCTACTATCATGGAGCCAACAGTAGAGAACAATAAACAAGTTCAAGCTCTTAATGAGCCAGGGATGAATGTAACAGGCTGCCACATCTTTGTTCAGCATGAAGCGTTGGGGAAAGAAGTGGATAAAAGATTGGCCTTGAGGTAAACATCTGAAACCATGTTCCCAAGCCAAATTCCCATACATTGGTCCTTCTAAATTGTGAAGCAAGGGTTTTTTAAAGCTTACGTACTAACTGGAAAAGAAAGATGTGGCGATTTCCAAAGCCACATTTCCTCCACTAAGAGATTTAAAAAAATACTGCACAGCTTTAATGATAGGGGGCATTACTAGCCTTGGAGCCAATTTCCCCCCTACAAACATGCCATTCTATCTTCTTCACAGGCAGGAAACCTAGCAGCATCCTTCAACCATAAACTGTCTCAAAAAGGAAGAATCATGCAGGTTAAGAGGAATATAAAGATATGGATTAGGCCAAAGGTCCAACTAGCTTGGCATTCTGTTTTCCAAAGGAATCAACCATGTTCAACCAGGAAACTCAGCAGGACATGAAGGCAATAGCCCTCCTGTATTCTTGGCCTTCTAATTGCTAATCTCCCTCCTCTACATTTTCCTCTATTGCCCTTGTTTTATGTGTTTTGCCTTAATTTGTAAGCCTGGTGACAGAGCCTCTCTTTCTTAATGATGTGGGGCACTGAGAATCAATAATTGCTTTGAATGAAGGAAAAAATACAGAAAATATCTAAATTAGTTATTCCTATAACTAACAGACCATGTGCCAGTAGTCACTCCTCTTGGACAGAGGTCACCCAACTACAATGAAACATGCCCTTGTAATCACAAGGTAAGATGAATGCAGTGGTTGAAAAAGTCAACATTTGAAGAAAATTTAGATGACAGCTATATTATGGACTGTTCTATGATTGCTAACTGGATCCTGCCTAAGGAAACACATTATATCACTTCTGAAACAGCTTTACAGGCTGCTAGTCCATTTCTGAGCATAATTCAAAGTGCTGAAGCTTACCTTTAAGGCCATAGCTTACAAATATGGTGTGCAAAATGACCACCTCCTTCCCCACATACCAACCCATTTACTTTCTTCACTGGAGTCTTTCCATGAATTCCTATTATCTAAATGAATGACGGGGAAAGAAAGCTTTGTCTCTAGAAGACCTCAACTCCCAAGAGGGCTTTCCTGGCACCTACCATTGTAGGTATTAAGCTGCAGTTATCCATCTTCTCAGATCTTTTTAAACTTCATTTGAATTGTGTTTATTACTTTGTCCTTTTTCTGTTCATTGGTTTATATTTCTTCCAATATGTTTACATTAGTTGCTCTTTTTATTCGGATTTTTGTTTTATAAATTTTGTTAAAAGAAAAAAATGAAAAATATGGCTACATATATGGCTAGAGTTTCAATCCATAGATATTAAATATGTGTGTGTGAAAGAGAGAAACAGAATGAATACAGGATTCTTAGAGCTATATATAAACTTTAAATAAAAGCAAACCAAACATCCAAATAAGTAGCCATCTACAGGTGGTATCTATATACTACCCCCTTCAAATGTTGAAAGTGTCATGACGTGTGTTCAATTCACTGCATTACAGGATGTGAGCTCCAGGAAGCAGATAATTTAGCAAAGCAATGCATATCAATGAATATTAAAGAGTGTTCCAATGAAATGTATTCTTTTCTCAAAAAGAGAAAATGACTGGTCACTGCAACAACAAATGCTTAAAAGAACATATGTGCTACACCTCCAACAGTTAGTTGATTTAGACAACACTTTATTATAGAGATGCTGCAATTTCTAATAGGTGCAAAACAAAAAAAATGACTGAATAAGACATAACCTGAGATCCATTGATCCATCTGATACAGGTGCCAAGGAGGTGAAAAATGGGACAATACAGTTCCCTATTCACATCCCTGCTGAAGACACTGTACATCAAATGCATGCACTAATATGAAGTATTTATAGACAGGGAGAGCAGATTGATTGGCCTTAATCAATGCTTCCAGTGATGAGAGAGATGCTCAATCTGTCAAATGAGAAAGCCCAGGAAGAAAACTTGATACTAACAAATGTTGCAAGTATGCCCATTCAGCTACAGATAAAATCTTATCTAATCCCCAGAGCACAGAATGTAAAAAATCAGCTGAACCATTAAAAAAAAAATCACATCATCCGAGTCTACCACAGAAAATATTTTCTTACCAATTTTTAAATCTGGATTTCCTAATAGCATCCATTTAACATAATTAAATGTATTTAAATGTAACTGATATATTACATGTCACACATCTCTTAACAGCTGTAAGTTTCAGCAAAACCCTATCCATTTTAATATCATAGAATCATAGAATAGTAAGGTTGGAAGGGGCCATCAGATCCAACCCCCTGCTGTTGCAGGACACCAATTTATGCTATCCCACTCAGATGGATGTCCAATTTCTTTTTGAATGTCTCTAGTGTGGGAGAACCCACAGTCTCTCTAGGCTGTTGGTTCCACAGTCATTTCGCTCTAACAATAAGGGAACTTCCTGTTATCTTGCCTGAACCTGGGTTGTTGCAACTTGACTCAATTATTCCGTGTCCTACACTCTGGTATCAATGAGGAGAGATCTTGACCTTCCTCTTTGTGTCGGCCTTTGAGGTACTTATAGAGGGGTATCATGTCCCCTCTCAGTCTTAATATGCCTAAAACCTACAGCTAACCATATACAGGGTTCAGACAAGATTTCTTATTTATTGATAGTCTCCTTGGAACATATTGCTATGGGGCAGGCTATAAATTCCCTTTCAATGAGAAAAATGAGGTGAAATAGACAAAATAGCCCCTTAATTTTACACACAGCCATAGCATTTTTTAAACTGCTGCAGGGGCTGTCCTGTAACTGAGAGGAAGAGCTAGAGCAGGAAATTAGCTTGGGTTCTCCAAATCTAATTCATAGGCAATGATGCTGAAGTTGGTTACTAATTCCCAGTTCTGTATTTGTGCAAAATTTCAAAAGAAAACTCAGTACACTGAATATGGACTTCATTTCTAATTGCCCCTGCACCACAGAGAACCTATATCCTATCGTATGTCTCCAAGATCAGGAAGCCATCTCCTTTAAGATAAACCTTTTCTCCAATCAAAAGCCATTTCTACACAAAACACCTTGTCATTGTCATCTAGTACATTATGCCCTCAGATGATAGTTACACATAAAGCATTTGCTGCACCCCTAATCCTACATCAATATTTCATGCCGAGTACAATCTAAGGTCAACACATATTGTGCATTCTGTAAAAATTACTGTTTTGATGGGACATAATTATTATTTATCTTCAAGCAGATGGTCCCCTGGTCAATGATATATGACAGGAAGTTAGGAAGTAACCCTAAGCTTAGTTTGAGGTGTCCTTCCACATGCACTTCAGCATTATATTCACCCTGTTCATGTTTACCCCACAGTGAGTCTCACTGGCTTCAGTGGGTTTCTTTCCTAGTAATGTGTTACAGTTGTTAAGGTTGTGCTTATGTTTATTCAGACTAAAGTCCCAATACACTTCATAGTAAATCTAACTTTTTGTTCTTTGATGGGCCAGACTGGAAGATGATACTGTGTCAGAGGTGGGCCAGATGGCCTAAAGGCACCATCCTATGCATGTGTAAACAGAAAATTCTACAAATTCCATTATGCCAGAGCCATTCATGCTAAAAGCTGTAGGTCTTTTTTCTGTCTTAAAAAAAGACTGCAATTAAGAAAGACTCAGAGAAAAGAATGTACTCAAAACTTCCTCAAAGAATTCCTCTTGTACTAAATAAATCCAACTAGATATAGTTATATAGCTTTAATAACTATTTAGTGTAACTTTAGAAAACTACTTTGAAAATATGAATTAAGAATTAAGTAAAACAGGCAGAGCTGCAACATAACTTGTCAGCAAAAAGTACAGATCAAGCTAACTTTGTAAGCTTCAGCTTGCCTTTAGTGAAACTATAATTTTCAAAATTGGAAATGGTATTGTGGCATCTTTATTCCCAGTTAGAAAGCCATTTTCTTTTTTTTACAGCAAGTTTCAAAACAATTATTATGTAGTTTTCACAGTACTCAACTACTGGGCAACAGGGAATTCTTTAACTCATGTATAGTTTTCATGGGGAATGATGGGGAAGAGAGGCAGGTTGCAATACTTGGCCAGCATTCCTAAACAAACTAACCTTGAAGTAAGCTGCTCTGATCCAAATAGGACTTCCTTCATATGAGCCTTGTACAGTATAGGATTACTGTATAGAGAGGATCATCGTGCATTTATTAACACCCGCCTCAATTTCCCAGAATGTGAATCACTAGCTTCATCCATGAGCAAAGGAAGGTATTGGCAAGTTCTGGGGAACTGCAAAGTTTGCAAAAATGTATAAAAGGAGACTCTTACGGGAGAAAACACCCCAAAACAGGCCGGTGGCTGATATTCAACATGTTCTTAAAGCAGTCTTGGGCTTAATTAGACTAACCCAGGATACGACTTAGCGATTAAGGAATGTAACTCCTGATGGAGCGGGGAGCCCTAAAGAGGGAGAGGGGAACAGAATGGCCGGAAGCCTTTACGCAGATCCCTTTATAGTAGAACATTTTGTTGTAGCTCCTATTTGTTATGATTCGAGCAACTGTACGTTTGGAGCCATCTTGTAGGGCTTTCCAAATTTCTGAGCAACAGGATCGGTATTCCTCTTCCCCTTCCAAACAAATCCCACACACAGGAAAGGGAAATGAGATTCTTCCAAGTCCACGGTGAAAGGAAAAGCTTCGTTTTGAAAAAGCGCCCTCCCTCGCACTCCCACCCAGCCGCTCGCTCCGCGGCGGGCCCAGGGCCGGACCGTACCTTTCCTGCATCGGCTGCAGCTGCGTTCGTTCGCCGCGGCCTGCGCTTCCCGCCACAGCCCTCCAGCCGCCGGCCACGACGTCGCCGCCGCTCAGCTGCCTCCTGACGGGAAAGGCGGGGTCCCCCTGGCGCCGGGGCGCCTCCTGCTCGAGCGACAGAGCCAGTTGGCTGAAGGCGTAGAGCAGCGAGCACAAGCCGCAGCCCAGGCACAGCAACGCCACCCGCACCAGCCGCCGCATCTTCCCGCGGCCCCGGCTGCCCCTCGCAGCCGGGGCCTAGCCGGGAGAGGAGACGTCGGCGGCGGCCGCAGCGTGAGCTTGGCACCAGCGCGGCGCGTCGGCGGCCGGCAGGCGCGGCGTGCGCAGCAGCGACAGCGACGCCTCCCCGGCTCCTGAGGTAGTAGCGAACAGCGCCCCGAGGAGGAGCGGAGCGGTGCCGACTGGGCGTCCGCTGCCCGAGCGGGGCGGAGCCGAGTGCCCGGGGCGCCTTGGAGGCGGCGACGGTGGGCTGGTGGCGCGTTGTGGGCGGCTGGCGAGGTGGAGCTACGGCGGAGGCACGAGAGCTGCGGAACGCCCGGCTTGGCGGCGGCCAGGCACGCTGCGCCCAGCCGCGACTGTCGCGCATGGGACGGGTGTTGGGTGAGGTTTTGGGGAAGCGACTGCAGGAGGGCTGACCAAGCGTACAGTCCTCTGCGATGCTTACCCTCATGGCACTGAGCGTGAAGTGCAGCTCCATGTTCTGTGCCCTTGCTCAGTTCAGCTGTGCTCACCAAGGGACGCAATCTCTAAGCCTGTTAGACGGAAATAAATCCTACAACTCCGAGCATTCCCCGACTAGCCATCATGCTGGGACTTGGAACTTCTTTTCGTCTGAACAGGTATAGGATTGCATCCCTAAGTGTGCCTGTGAGGGGGCCTATTTTCGCCTTAGCACAAACAGGACACTGTGGCAGCTGTTGCAAACAGCTGCGTGGAAGTTGGTCCGACTGGGCGAGTTATTTTTTAGTGGAAAGCTTTTCTATCATATTACGCAAGACTAGGACCTGAAAGACGGGTAAACAGGCGCTGCACACAACTTTCTGTGGCAGCTTCTAATATCCTTTGTTACGCATTTCAAGCCATTGACCACGGTAAGATCCCTCCTTGGTCTTTGGAAAGAAGGCAAAAGTGCCTCCATAGTGCTGCTACATAGTCAAATGCTTTTAGCATTATGTAAACACAATAGTTTAAAGGAACAGAGGGAAACTTAGTATATTAGAAGAGGTGGGGGGTAGGTCGTTTATCACACAAAATAACCATACAAATAGATGTTACATGTATTTGTTTAATAAGGTGAAACATTGTTCTTACAACATAAGGATAAACTTTAAGAATGCTGTGCCAGAAAATAGTTTTGTTCCAGAAACATTTCTAAATAAGACCAGGAAGCAAACTATTTTCTTAAATCCAGAACTGCATCATTTCATCAGATTGGCATGCTGTGGTAATTAGTCAGAGGGCTAATTATAGAGGAATCACAGAAAAGCTCTTCCCCCTCACATCATGTCCTTATTCTGCCTAAAGCTTAATCATCCATGCACACATTCCGGATAGAAAGGTTTAAAAAATATTAATCTCTTGTTTACTGCACTATGTGCTACATGGATATTACCTGGTATCATTCAGAATGAATTCATGCAAAGGATGATTTTGCCTACAACAGCAAGAGATAATTTCCATTCTTTTGGCACTGCATACTTGATTTCCAGTCTTTTTATGGACCTTAAATCAGTGGTTCCCTTGGGAAGAGACTTCAAAAAATGGGTGATAACTCACTGAATTTGCAAGCAGCTGGGAAAGGACTGACATTCTCTTCTTATCCTCAACACTGGCATCAAGCAGTTAAGTCAGGCAATTGATGCTGTTGGAAGAAAGATCTGTGTGTCATATGGCCTGTTTTGTGCCCCCAAAGGTAGCCTGCTGCCTTTGGGTACAGTGATGGCTACTGTCACATCGCCAATGTTGAAGAAAGATTCAGCTACCTTTTATACATACAAAGAGAGAGGCAGCATCTTATTCCCTTGCCTCTGGCAAAAAAATATACTGGGCCCCCACCAAAGCCTTGCTTGAAGCAGGGCACTTCCACTTGTAACCAAAAAAAAAAAAAAGTGAGCTCTTCTGGATTGCTGCTGTAGGGTTTCCTCCCTAGCTCTAAATAGTCCCCAATCTCAAAGAAGCAGGCCTTTTTCTCTGTGAAAATGTTTCCAGGGGGGTGGGCTGGGAAGTTCTTTCTACAGTGAAATAATGTCCCCTCCCACCAAAATCAATTTACTGTTGTTCTACTCATTTTGTTCAAAAAAGATTTTTTTTCAGACACATCCAGTGGCAGTTTTTAGACACTGAACTAATGAGTCACTTTGAATGCACAGATACCTAGCCTTTTTAATCATAAAATTTATAAGGTAATAGAAAGATAATTGTAACAAAGGAGAGGATACAATTTTTTCAACAATGAAAAACAAAGTGAAAATTAGGGAAGACTGCAATTAGTGATGGTGAGATGCGGGAGGATTGGAGTTAGAGCTTATTTGTATTCTTAGAGCTCAAACCTATGCATATTTTGACAGAAAAAAGCCGTACAATTCCCAGCATTTTCCAGATAGCCATGTTGGATGGAAAATGCTAAATTGTAGGATTTCTTTTTCTGTCAAAACATGCATGAGGTTGAACACTTAATGGCACTGTTAAGTTAAAATGTGGTTTCCGAATGATGGTTTATCCAGAGCAACTGTAACCCATTTTAGTATTACTACAAGAGCTGCCAACTGGGGGCAGGAATTGCTTCCAAACTTTTCAAAAGCTATACTTTAACCATATCATCACTATACATATGCGCATGCAAACATATATAAAAAATTGTAACTCAGCTGGAGCAGCCATTTGTCATTCTATCTGAATATGACCTGAACTTTCCTTCCTCAGAACTATAGTGAGCTTCACCTGATTTGATACTATTTTAACTGTTTCTTTAAAATGGCTTGTCAACAGTAACTCCACACTCAGATAAAATGCTAAGTCAAGGACTGGATTCACATGACATGACAACCCATCATGGGCAACTAGCCGTGATAGGGTGCTGTGTTGTCCAAACCTAGACTAGTTTCTACAAGACAGATTAATTTTTAGGAACAAACCACCCTGATAAACCATGATTTGTTCTAGGGGCTTATTTTACCCATGTTGAGTTGTTGTGTGATTCAAATAAAAAAGCAATTTTATCAGGGGTCACCAAAAAGCCACTTGATAATGACTGGCAAAAGCCCACACTGTTTTTCATGAACTCTGCTGTGCTGCCTCCAGGCTCCCTTGTCAGTGGCTGATCCCCACCTGCTTTCATTCATTATTTTCCTGAATTCCCATCAAGAAAGAGGAAATATTGGCTTCTCCACACATATTTTTCATGGCTCTCTTTTGCAGTAGCTACTGCTGCAGTTACCGTGGGTCTTTTTCTCCAAACGGTCAGCAATTTAAAGGCATGACAGGACACTGAGGGGAAATTGGTGCAAATTCAAATGTTTGGCAGTAAAATAAATAAATAAATAAATAAATAAATAAATAAATAAATAAATAGAATTTTGTACAACCTAAGTAACTTCTCCTTTCTAAACTTGCTGGAGGCTTGGGAAGAAGGACAGTGACAAGGGTCAGTTCAATACTGCATACTTTTACTTGGAATCTGTAGTGTATTGCATGAAATGAATGGGGCGCCCTTTGAAATTAGTAGAATTTTAACATGCAAACAGATATTCTGGTAAATAATACCATGCATTCTCTTTCCCTATCCACATAAGGACACAATACATGTTTGTAGAACATTTACCTGTGTAAACATGCATAGAATGCTGGACTGCTGTAAACCATCCAGAGAGCTTCATCTGCAGGAGGTATAGAAGTGAAATAAACAACAGCAGAAACAGCAGCAGCTAAATGTAAGACTACCTTGCTAAGTAGAAGATATTGTCTCCACACACACTTCTTTGGAGCACTCAACTCCACATTCCTTGGCAGATGTGCGTACATGCAATCTCATGTTGGCAATATCCATTAATGTTGCCTTCTGCACTTCCGTCCCTTTCGCAGTGCAATTTATAAAGATATCGACAAGACAAAACTCTACATATTGGCCAGTGCTCAGTGTAGGCTTGTGAAAGACTGAAGATGATTATGATGATATTTGTGTAATTTTCTGGGACCAAGATATTTTTAAAAAGGAAAGAGAACCCCATTATGTACCTCCTGAGGGTTAGGGGTTATATATAAAACCCTAACACTAACCCTGAAGCACCAAAATATGTTTTAAACAGAGTACAATTAAAAAAGGAGCTCAAATGAGGATGAGTCCAGAGAGCAGGACAGTTCCTCATGCAAAGGATATTGTGACATGGGCTGAAGAACTAAGGAAGAAGAGGAAAATAAGCCATGGTAAGCAAGTTCATCTGTTGGGCATAACATGGGTTGTTCTGTGAATCCACACTATATAACTCATTTGCAAGGTGGTTTACCATGACATGTAAATGCAGGCAATAAAGCATGGGAGGGAATGGCAAGGAATGGACCCACTAGTCTGAATTAAGAAATATTAGAATATTTTAAATATTTTTTTAAAAAATAAGATTAGAAAGTGCTGTCAAGATATGGGAAAACTTTAAGTTAATAATCCTAATTAAGAATTATTTTAAAAATGTCTAGTTTAAAATATCTTCTTAAAATTGCACCTTTTGCATCATTATCCATTGCCCTCAAGGACATGGACTTAACCAGGAACTTAAAACATGAAGTAAGCATGTGAGATAATAGAAATGACCCTTAAGAAATTATATTTCTAATTGCTTTCAAATTTTGTTTTACCCATAAAGTTGCTCATACACATTTGTAGCATTCATGAACAAGGAGTGTTTTAGTGGTGGACACAGCAAAAGTAAATGTCCAGAAGGTATATCCTTCATGTAAAAAAGAATAAATACCTACCGTAGCTCATTATTGGAGCACACCATTTGCATTCCTGGCAAGTTCAATCCCTGGCTTCTCCAAGTAGGGCTGGGAAATTCATGTCTAAAATTCTGGACAGTTATTGCTGGTCAGTGGCAACAATACTAAACTAGATGGAACAATAATCTGACTCAAAATAAGGCAGCTGTTTATGCACCTATAGGAAATAAAACTTGGTATGCAAATTACTTTTTATCTGCAAAGCATGATGATTTTGTCCTTACTAGAATTTAGTCACACACGTAATACTACTTATTTGCTATTTACTATAAACATTATCTAAAGCAAATTGTGTTTTTTAAAGAATAGTGATATTTAGGGAAAATCAGTTCATAATACTCTTGACAAATATTATTTAAATGCAATCAAGAAATTCTTATAGCTTCTTGCTTTAACCACAAAAGTCTCTGTTAAAATTAGATTTGTCAGTAAGTAGCACCAGTAAGTGAGGTATGCAGGTTTAGATACCACATCACACTTTCATTTTACGCAACTAACTGTATTTCACAACTAACATTGTACAAAATAGATAGTACCATTGTGCCTGTAGAAGTTACTGCAATTAACAGAAAAATACATTACTACAAGAAACCAGCAAACATCACAATTTTAAGGGGCTACAAAATTCCATTATTCTAGCTGAAAGGCTGTTATCATATATTTAATATGTTGGGGTTAGAATCACTACCTAAATGGTCATACCGGTTCACAAACTAAATATTTTCAATGCAAAAAAGTGAATTCCTTGCTAGAATATGAATACTGCTCCTTGTAACAATAGCCAGATGGACCATGTATCAAATCTGAAACAACAAATGAAAACATTAATAGCTCCATCTATGCATATTTTCTTCATATTTAGTTCCACTGAGATCTGTCAGACTCATTCACAGATAGGTGTGCTTAGGATTACAGGCTAAAATAAAAATCAAATATTAAATTGACCGATACTCTCTCATAGCTTTGCTCTTTCATGACAATTACATCTCGCAATCCAAAGCAAAGCAATATAATGTAATGAATAATAGTTCATTGTTGAACTAGTTTGAACCTTTACAGGTGTGATCCCTTTACAAGGGTATTTATAGAAGGGGATACTAATATGGGCAACTACTAGAATAGGAAAATTGCAGAAATGCAAATTAGGATGTTTTCATACCTGTTAGAAATAACACTTTCTGCACTACAGTTTTAACCATGTTTACATGGAAGAAATATTCACTGAGAACAAGTGGGGCTTATTTCCTAGTAAGTGTGTTTAGAAGTGCAGCCTCGGGCTGTTAAGTTAAAAATGCATGGGATGTACTGACAGGCTGCAATCGTCTACAATCTTATCCAGAAATTAGTACCATTGAACTCAATAGGACTTTTTTGAGCAGACATACATATGGTTTTGCTCTCAATTTTAATGTATCACTTCTAAATGGTTAGTACAATATACGAGTGGAACAGAATTATTTTTAGATGTGCTGATCAAGGTGTCCTTCATTTCATTGGCACAGTCCTGTATTAAAACACCTTTAGTTACAATGTTTCTTCCCACTACAATTTTAATGAAAGAACTATTAAGTAATTTGTGCATCAACAATTGAATGTAAACAAAACTGCAAAACCTATACTCATAAAAATATTTTATTGGAAAGTTTACATAATACCGAATGGGACTGTTAAATCTTTTTGTTCTGTATCTATATATTGCTAAATGCATAAATGTTCACAACTATATCAGAAACAACTGTATTTTTCCTATGATTTGCTTTATAATATTTAATAAAGGTTCTTTTCTTTAAAAAGCAAACAGCTGATATAGGAACAAATGATCTATATACACTACTTGCTTACTTATTCACTCAGGTGCAACATTTAATATCACTGGCCTGGATCCAAAAGGCTGCACAGGGAGCTCCCACACCTTTTTTCATTCATATATATATGTGCGCACACACGCGCACACACCAACACACACACACACACACACACACACACACACACACCCATGGCTTCCAAGGCTTACCTCTTTCAGCTGCAATTCCCTGTACCACCCACTCCCAAAATACAGAAGATCATTGGGAATAGTCTCTGATGCAGTACAAAGAGCTATGGCTAAAGAAGAAAAAGGAAACCACAAGACTGCATTAAAACTCTTTTACAAACTTAAGAGCCTCTTTGGATCCCAGCCTTTAGCTGAACTGATATATCACTATAACACTGAACAAGTTTGGGAGGACAAAAGAAGAATAAGCCATATGAGAATAATATGTTTTGGATTTTAAGGTATCAACAGTAATTAAATATTAAAATCTAGTTTTTAAAAGAAAACAAAACAGAAATTACCTAATAATTTCAGAATAATTCATGTTCTATAAAATAGAATACCAGTGTTTAAGGACAAGGTAGTACTATACTTGAATTATAAAGCTAAACAATTAATGCTTGTAACAGATTTACTTTTTGTGGGGTATTTTTTGTTTTGTTTTTGCTTGTAAACAGTACAATAGATGTTCTAAATGTGTGAGAAAAATACTGTAGAAGCCAGCAACGTAATTCAGTAACAGTAATCTAGTAAAATGTGTCAGACATTGGCAAAAATTCATACAAATGTTTTATTTAATAACATTTTTCCTGTTCAACCACACCAAGTACCAGCAGGTGTTTTAAAGATAATCATTACGAAAGTCTTTTGCAGCAATAGTTGATTAAGTTGATCTTTGACTTGCATACATATAACTATGTTTCACAATTCTCAAATAATACATATGTAGGCAGCTTGAACTATGTTATATTTTTAATTCAGTACATGCCAATAGTATAGAATCCAAGAGTTGTGTTAAAATTCATTAAACTAAATGTAGAAATGGACTTACCAGTAACACTGCATCAAGAACATTCAAACCACATTTTCATGGCACCTTTGTATATGAAGATTAAAAAGTTAATCTGAAATGTGTTGTAGGTTGTAATAAAATTTAATTTACTGTTGCGCTTTGCTTGTATAAAACTGCATAAATCATATTTGAGTAAACATACAAATCGTGCATGGTAATACCAAGTCATGAAAATGTGGTAACTGTTGGCAGAAGTTGTGTATATTTGCAAGTTTTGGAGAAGAAAGACTAAAGAAACTCTGGTAAATAAACTTTAATGAGATTCTCCATTCAATGATGAGGCTTCTCCTCTAGGTGAAGATGACCTGGACATTCCTCTCTCTGTATTGTCAGAACTAGAACCGCTCTGACTGTGCTGATCTGCAGAAGCTGCACTGGAAGCAGGTGGTGACTTAGTTTTTTCTTTAAAGTCTGTAATAATGACTGTCAGATCACCAACAGTAACTTCCAAGTGTTGGGCGCTACTTCGATCCACATTTTTCAACCTGGGCCTAAAAATATAAATAATCAAATTAAAGAAGTAACTCAGAATCTCTCACAAACTTCTTCAGTTAAAGTTATATTTGGAGCCCAAACATATAATGAGGCTGGTCTTATTCTGAATCAGATAATCTTTCTAGGACATCATTGTCTACTCAGACTGGCAGCAGCTCTCCAATATCTTCAGCAGGCTCTTCCTCAATCCTGTTATCAGAATCCTAATAATTAAAAATGCCAGCCACTAAACTTGGGATCTTAAATCTTCCCCTGAGCTTTGGCTCAATTCTCATAGCCTATTAAATACTCTGTTCACCAATACTGTAAATACAGGAATACAAGATAGGTAAAATCTTTACATTCAAATGTTCGATAGAACAAACTAAAATTCGGCTGTGCATCGTTATTCACAAAGCATGTGACAAAGCATATCGGAAAGGCACATTGGGATAAAGAGGTGAGGATAGGACAGGTAACTTAAGGAAAGAGAATGGGAGAAACATCATGGGAGAGGCAACCCAGAAGGTGAAAGAACTTGATATACATTTTCTTTAATGTTTTTTCTTCTCAAAACTTGAATGCTGATATGTAATGGCTACAGCTGTTGTCACTGAAAACTGTTTTCATATGGAAAAGTGCCAAGCAGCTGCCTTTACATATGTCAGCAACTAGCTACATGACTCTCCAAACCAGCAGTGATGGTAAACATGGTGATAAAATGGAAAATCAGAACGTAAGAAGCTCTGCTGGATCACATAAAACTCTAGTCCAGCATCCTGCTTCACACAGCAACAGAGCATGCATCTAAGGTGAATATCAATGGGCAGCTATTGAGAGCCCACATCCCTGGAGGGGTGATTGAGGGAATCTTTCCCAAGAGTCTTCAAACACATGCAGTTGGCACTGCACAGTGGCAATCAAAATCCTTCCAGAATGCCATTGTCAGGGCATAAATCAACCATTTCTGCTCTTGCTTACCCAAACTGGTATTCAGTGGCATGCAGCTCTGAACGTGAAGGGTCATTTAGGACCATTTTGAGCATATCATAACCTATTAAGCTGAGAAAGTCAGGAGGATTGTGCCTGCAATGCTTTTTCCCTTCTTCATTTTTAACACACAGCAACTGAAGACTTGTTGATTTAATTAACTGGATGGGGGTGGTTTGCATTTGAATCAGAAAAGTATAGTTATCTGCTTCAGAATCAGTCAAAAACTGAAGCTATGATTTGAAGTTATTTTCAGATCTTCATTTATCCCAAACCTTGTAAGCATACCTCCCTGGTTTGAAAGTAATGGGAAATGATGGATAATTAATTCTGCAATCCTTTAATCATAACACATGAGAAGGGAGTTGGAAAGGGCAGTACAAGGACAGGGCAGGGAAGCACAAGGCTTGTGCCATAGCTTAATAAACCAAAACATGTTCTGTTTCAACCAGGCCATCATCATCATGACTAACATCCACTGATAGATATCATTAGAAATATTCATGGAAGATTGCTCTAACATCTAATGTGTCTAATATCTTTAAAGCACCTTGGATAGCGACCATCTCATTTTATGTAAGTGAATTAATTTGAATTATGTAAAGAACTACTTTCTTTTGTCTGCCAATTTGAGTGAATTACGCTTCTATATTATGAGGGAGAAAAACTGTGTTTTCCCACCCCATGTATAATTTTTAAAGTTCTTATGTTCTGCTCATGTCACCATTTTTATTAATTAAAATGTTAATTTTAATTAACAAGTTTAGTGGTAGAATGTTTCAGTGTTTAGTGGTAGAAAAAGCATTCCACGCCACCAGGTGAGGAAATTAGAACCGTGCATTATATTCCAAATATAGATGCACCACAGATTTATATAAAGGCATTGACTATGACATTACAGTATGTTCCATATGATGGCGCTAACCCAAGCAGCTAGCTGTTTACATTTAGATCAATCACATGGAGCGTGTCCACATTGAAATGGTTGTCAGTGGTATCCATGTCACCATTACTTATGAAGCAGACCTTAAACAATCAGATGGTGGATCAAAAGCAATTTCTTGCAGGAGTCCATCCCTGTTCCTGTGCTGCATAGATAATGGAGAATTAAGTGGTTCTCTAAAGCCACATGGCCTATCAGTGAAAGGTATAATGCTAGTAGAAATGATTTTGAAAATACTTTTCCTGTCTTTTAATTAAATACCCTGGAAGTCAGTGACAAATATTATTTATTATTTTACTCTGAAATTCCCAATCTGAAACTTCACTAGCCCAAGAACAAGTTTCTGAAAGGAATTCAAAATATAAAAACATTATTATAAAATAAAAGCTTGAAAAAGTCAACATAAAATTAAAGCAGAAGAACAATTACAGTTGCAGAAGTTTAAAAGCAAAGGACCTCAACATCATACCAGAGACCCAAAAGACTTCTGTAAAAGCAAAGTTTTACTTAAGCTTTTAAAAAAACTGGTAATAAGCTAACCAAGCAGGCTTCCCTGGGAAGGAAATTCCAAAGATAGGATGTCACATATCTTAGGTTTAGGCATCCCAAAATGAAGAAATGACAGGGGTGTTCCATCAGGTGCCTTAGGTCATCTAGAGCAAGAGTAGGGAACCTGTGGATTTCTAGATGTATATAGATTTCAACTCCCATCATCTCTGAAACTGGCCATGCTGGGTAAGACTGAAAGTCCTGAAAAATACCAAATGGACCAGAAGTTCATTGCCACCCTGATTTTAAAAGTCAGCACCAACACTTCAAATTGGGCTGAGGAATAAACTGGCGACCCACATATTAGCTTAAGTGTTACAAGGCTCCTTCAGGTAGCCACCAGTAATAGCCTAGCCATGACATCTGTACTAGTTCAACTTTCAAAAACTCGTCATAGTCAGCCACTTACATACGTTGCCACGTGTACCAGAGACAAAATTCTTATTTCCCAGGAGTTTTTTCAGCCAGTGCATCAAGCACAGCTGGAAAACAACCCACTACTATTACCATCACAGCCAATGCAAATCAGATCAAGGAGAAACTGCTGAATCGAGAAACTGCTTGTGCACCAGAACTGTGACCGGGCAGTGTACCTACTGTTTGAACAGCTGCACTGTTCACCATCAAACATCTTTATCTTACTTGGATGAATTTTCAGTTTATTAATTCTTATCAAGCTTTCATCCTTTTCAAGTAACAGTTCAGGGATGCCACTGCCTTTTGGGGGTCACAGGAAAAGTAAGTTTTAACTGGATGTCATCAGCTTATTACCATCTTACCATAAATTTCCGTACAACTGCTCCCCATAGCCTCTGGTGGACACTAAATGGGAAGTAAGATGGTCCTGACTAAGTGGTAATAAGGCTTATCTGAATACTTGCTAATTTTGCTGTAAAGGGGACAACTGCCATTAAGGAGGGCAGCAGGAACCCATGGTCCAAGAGGGAAACAAGACATTTTTAGTTCATCAGTCATGGTGAAGTATTGTGATAATTGCATCATAGGCATATGAATGTATGAAGCTCTCTTGCTTTCAGACTTAGGTGATCTACCTAGCTCAGTATTGTCTACTGTGACTGGCAGCAACTCACAAGAATCTCAGACTAGGAATCTCTTTCCTAGTCCTTGTACTTGGGATCTCCTGCCCAATACAGAAAGCAAACTCCAGTTTCAAACTCTGGCTAAGTTGGAATACTGTTTATACATAATGCATATACTAGGGCATATTAAGAGCTTGCATTCTGCAAATATAGATGTTCTTTGTACCAACAGGAATTGTTTTTCCCATCTGAGCATGGTGTGCAAAGAATTGCAATGTGTGTACAACCTGTATCATACTTACATCCCTGGCTGTCACAGTAAATTCGCATCCTCTAATCTGAGGACACATAAATATGTGAAGGGGAAGTTAGAAGAGCCCAAGCTTATATTACATTCTACTGAAATAATAATGTCACTGTTGCCAGGCAGATTTTCGGTCCTAAATTTAAAGTGTGTCCCAGTTTCAGTTTTTTCTAGAAATCTATGTTGGACCATATGAATACTCCATTTCAGTTGTTTTATTAACTGTAGAATATATTTACAAGTCTGATACTTCTTTGAAGAAGTAAAGCCCAGTCATTTTCAGATGTAAGGATTAAATGCACATGTTTCCAGAAATATATGGTTACAGATATAGCCACATTTCAGGCATCTCCAAACAAATACACTCAGATTTGTGGGACCCACTTCCCCATACTGCGATCCAATGCTGCTGAAAAAGAGTATGGCTATCACAACTATGAGAGTAGGGCCAATTATGTGTGATTTTCCCATATAACATCACACCCTGCCCTAAAATGAAAACAAAAACCCAGCTCCTTCAGCTAGCCTTTAAATTCTACTCACATGTTTATTCAGCCCTTATGGTTGATCAAGATGTCATGTAAAACACCATGATGATGATGAAATATAAGTAATTACTGCTTTTACTAAGAAATTCACAGATGAATAAAAAAATCAACAATTTTTTTTCTAAATAGCACAAAACAGTATCAAAATTTACCTGGTTTTCTTATGACTGTTCTTTTTGCTAGTAGTTTCCTTTTCACTTTTTTCCTTTTCTACTTTGTCTTTTTTCTCCTTCTTTGATTGTGTAGGGGGCACAAATTGCTGAGTAACCTGCTGTGCAACCAGCTGAGAGACAGGTCGAGGTTTCCTGTGTATACATATATAGGACAGCATAAACACCACAGCATCAGTAAAAACAATCAGTTCCTGCATAGTCGTTATTTTTGTAAATCGATCAAACAGTTGAGAAAAACTTCTGCTTGACGCCAAATGTAGATTACATTTGTATATAAATATACATTTCATTTTCTAAAAAATACTAAGACACATTTTCCCTTGATGCCAGGAAGTTCACTTGTTTTTCACTGGCATAAACTGTATAGAACCAAAGAATGCTTTTTCTCCAAGCCATGATTTTGATTTCTGTTAAAGTCACAAAACCCTTATAATATTTAAAAAATGCCTAGGGAAAGTAAGTACCATATCAAGGAAAATGTTTTACAGTAATAGGGCAATCCTAGAAGAATTCTGTCAACAAAGAAGAGGCAGAAGAGCCCCAAACCCTGGGGAGCAGAGCTATCAGGAGGGCTGTTTCTCCCACCACAGTATTTCCAAATGCAAAAGGTTCTACAGGTGTAAGCCACCACCTGTTCATGTTTTTCTGTTCCCACTAGAAATAGTTAGAATAAGACCCACAAATGGGGCATTTCAGAAAAACATGAACTCCATGGAACTGCATCCTTCAGTTATATAAGTCTGGAGATGGCACAGCTAACTAAGTCAATAGAAAAAGATGTACAGGGCTGAAAAGAACCGTTTCCAAGCAATCTGCCCTGGTCAGTATGAACAAACAAGCCTTATAATCACCAGATGTACTATATTGCTCCTCTACAATGCTTCTTAAGTTTGTACTGTTAAGCCTCAAATTTATGCACTTTCACATTTATGCTTTCTGTTCAAGGAACACTGAACTCAATGGGGCTTACTTCTGAACAGACATTGATATAATAGCACTGTGAATCACTTTATTCTCACAAGAAAACTTACTAATTAGGTCTTTTAAAAAGGAACCAAACTCTGTATTTGTTAAATTACAAATGATATAGAGGCTTTGGATATTGGTTTTGTTTAAATATGAATCAGTATTATTACTTATTATTTGTATTGCAACATTTATTCATTCATTCATTGCACTCATATGTCGTGCCTCTTAGCCAAAGGTTCTCAAGATGGCTCACATAAACAAGAAATCACCAATTAAAAAGTACAATTTAAAAATAAAATAGTAAAAGAGAATAAAACAGAAATAAAATAACAATAATTTTCAATAACACCATTTAAAACTGGGATTTAAAATAATAAATAATAAATATGTTGAAGGGCAGATCAGGGAAGAGTAATTCAGCCTGTTCTAGAGACTCAGGAGATGCTTCAGACTTGAGGCATGGGTGTGTTCTTGGACTTGGCCCTGAACTGAATGCCCAGGTCTCAGCAGTGACCAGGAGTGCATATGTACAGCAGAGGCCAGATGGCCAAAGGTGCTTGTTCCTAGAGAAGCCTGATCTGCCCATATGTGACCATGGCCAGATACATGCATTAGTTGAATCCCATTTGGACTACTGTACTCCACTCTAAATGGGGCTGACATCAAAAACTGTTCAGAAACTTCAGTTTGTCCAGAATGCTACAGCCAAATTATTGACAGGGGTCAGTTACAGGGAATATATGATCCCCCTGTTACAACAGCTTCACTAACTACCAGAATTCAAAGTGGTGGTGATGACTGATAAAACCATCTATGTCTTGGGACCATGCTACCTGGAAGCCCATCTTTTCACACACACGCTGGCCTGTTTCTTAAGAACTTCTTGAGAAGCCCTTATTTCTCAGAGACACATTTGGTGGCAATCAAGAGAGGTCCTTTGCACTCCCAGACAATGGAATTCCCTCCACGGAGATACTTCATTTGCACCCTTTCTGTTACCCTTCTGCTGGCAAGCAAAGAGCACATTATTGAAGAAGGGCTTCAACCTGTATGTAATTTTGTTGGGTTCGGTGCTGTTATTTTTTCTGCAAGTATTACATTTGCAGAAAAAATGCATTTTGCATTATTTTATTGTTTCAATTTTAATTATGCTTGTAAGCCACCTTGAGTGCCATTTATTCACAGAAAGGCAGGATACAAGTGAAATCCATCCATCAAGGAATATATATTAATATTTGAAGATACTGTAATACAGAATCATACAAAGAGGGTGTAAGGCACTGAAAGCTGTTAACACACCTATCTTAAAATGCTGAAAGAACAATGTATGGTACAGAAGCACAGAAAGCTGCTTTATACAGAGTCAGACTGTTGGTCCCTCTAATCCTATATTTTCAGCACTGACTGGCAATGTCTGCCAGGGGCTTCAGGAACCCTGCATGGGGCTGCTGAAGACTGAGGACTGAACCTGTACACAAACTGTGTACTCTGCCTCTGAGCAGTAGCCTCTCTCATATGCATCCTAGAGATAATAATCTAAAAAAGCTAATTGCAACCTCAAAACTCTCAAATCTCAGTGTCACTGCTAATTAATGTTATGCAAGAAATATTGTTAAAGTTGGGTTTCTCATAGAAATATAGAAATGGTAATGATTACATAACTTTTTACTTGAAATAGAAAAATTCATAAACATTAGAACAATTTTCTGAGAAAGCACAGAAGTAAATCTATTTCTAGAAACAAACCAGAAACCAGTAGTTTCATCATGCTGAACACTGGAGAGCCAGTGTGGTGTAGTGGTTAAGAGCATGGGACAGGGACTCAGGAGATCTGGGTTCTAGTCCCCGTTCAGCCATGGAGCCAACTGGGTGACTTTGGACCAGTCACAGTCTCTCAGCCCAACCTACCTCACACGGTTGTTGTTGTGGGGATAAGATGGAGGAGGAGAATGATGTAAGCTGCCTTGAGCCCTTTGTAGGAAAAAGGCAGGATATAAATCGATAAATAAATAAATAAAACATCTTACAGATTCTCTATCAATAAAAACAGAGGTTCTAACTTGCAGATTCACCATATGCAATATCATAATTCTAATCCTAAATAGGTTGGCAGGCACAGCTGCTTGGAAAACCAGACCAACATTTTTGAACACCGGCAAAATATAATTTGCCTCAACAACATACGAATATTAACTGTTAGTACACCCTTTCTTAAGTACCACAGCATATTTTGAACTTGAGATATGGTACCTGAAACAAGACTGGTTGCTACAAATTTCCTGTAATGTTCATATAGTCTTATGACTTACGATTTATTTCTAAATGTTCCTTGCAACGTTATCATGGATAGACTTAAGGTTTGTCGGATCTATTTGGATGGCCTCTGTATGAATGGAATGCTGCACCAGATTGTCCTGTGTGTGGGTTTTTGTTTTTGTTTTAATTAAAACTGAAACACAGTAACCCACCAGAGACAAGTGCCAAACAGTGCCTGAGATGGTCAGTGCAAGGCACAAAACAGTAATTCAGGGGATTAAGCAAGTTACTTACATCACTCCCCACTCTCACTCAATATATGCAAGTATGAATTTGTATCTCAGCTGCTATAGATCAGGGGTTCTGACACAATATTCAACAATACAAATACACAAAGACATGGTCAAAGATACCAAATTGATATTTTTATGTTACAAGCAAGGAACACTAGAGCTAAGAGAGAAGTGATTAGTGTTCTACCATAGCAAAGGTATTTTTTTCACCTGCAGTTTCACTTAAAACATTCTGACCACTGGGAGTTGGAAACCACGTATTACCAAGAGATCTACAGTAGACGTGCCTTCTGCTCACTCCTGTTCTAAACAGGATGTTAATTTTCCAATGGCCGGGGTTTATGGGCGTTATTATACAGAACCTCTAGAGTGCATGAGGTTGTCAAGCTTGTCTTATACACTCTTGCAGGGGAAGTGCAAGCCCCTTCAAAATAGTTTGAATACTTTTCAGCCAGGCAGATAACATCCCACAAACTGTCCTCTGGTCTTGTCTAGATGGAATATGTTTATTGGCTCTCATCCAGTCCACCAGGCACAGACTCGGAACAGCCACTGTTTCACCTGGATTTTATGAAAAGAAAAAGCTGCACATCTGTCTTCTACATACTGATGAAAGATCATCCCACACTTCTGGATATCCCTTCTAGTGGTTTAAAATAGTTCATAAATAGAATGAGGATAAAATAGAGCCTTCTGGCCAAGACAGAAAGAGCAATAAATCCCCAGCATGACATTCTACAATTGGCAAGTCTGAGCAGAACCACTGCCATACAATGTCCAGTCCAGATAAACCTATCCAAAAAGATATCACAATTATAAGTTATTGAAAGCGGCTCAAAATTCTGCAAGATCAGCATCATCCTATCCCATTCTCAAGAAAGGTCTTTCCATAGACCTATCAAGGCAGTTTCCATTCCAAAACAAGGCCAATCCAAATGAAATGGATCTGGATAGACTGCTTCATTCAGAAGTGTCTGTACTTGGTCAGCACACACTTATTATGCAATGTTAAAGGGACTGTTCATCAATGTTAATTGAACTTTTATATTTAAAGATTAACCTGCATGCTGATTGTGCCTCTTCTATGCTGCTGCTCAGTACTGTACTTTAGCACAGATTTATGAATACTGCAGTGAGCAGGTTTTATAACCATACCCCTGCATGCAAAACAACTGGTTATTAGTTTCTCTTTTTTTCACTGATTTTAAACAGGTTTGTACCGAGAAACTTTTTTTTGTAAAAGCTAGCTAAAGCAGCTAGATAATCAAGGCTGAAGCTGGCTCAAAGATGCTATTTTAAAATTTCACATCATTGACCTAAGTATACATTGTGGATTCTGATCCATGCAGCCTCTGATTTAAAGCTACTTTTCCACAGTTTGGAAACATATGATTTACTCTAATTCCTAGAAAACCAGTTAGGATGCTTGCTTGTATTGCATAGTTCTACTATAGTTATCAGTAATAAGATCTGCAGAATGCAAAATCTTAATAATGTATTTTATTTGTGAGTGCACTGTTTATTATGTTTGCCTAAATTATTTCTCATTAAAATGAGACACTATCTTATGCTTCATTACCTTGTAAAAGTACAGCTGCATGGCCTTGGTCAAAA